AGCAAGCAGCACTTCCAGAAAAGGGCAGAAGATGAATGCTGCAATCATAAGGCAAGTGGTCCTGCAAAAAAAAAAAAAACAAACACCTTGCAAATGCATGCATTGCTTAGCACAAAAGACCTGCAGACCCATCATCCATGTATTTGTCTTGTGAAAGGCTGGTCTTGGTGTCTATATATGCACAAGCCTGAACAGGCATACAGCACTGACCACTAGTTTAACTCCCAAGATTTCCCGGTAACAGATTCCCATCTCCCCGCAGTTGCTCTTGTACCTGGAGACAAATGAGCAATCTGAAGACCCAGAGAAAGCATTACTGCTGAACTGTGCCCACAATGCAGGCAGGGATTCAGAAGCTGCCACATTAAATGAGCAAGAAGAAAGTTACACCTCAGCGAGCACCTCTGTGGCAGCAAGAAGAGACAAGAACCTACTAACATCATGGCAGTTGTACTAGTGACAGCACACACCTGCTGAGCAAGTAAAAAGTTTTTCACATTTTCAGCTTGCCTCTTAGCTAGGCTACATGCTGAGCCTCATCTGCTGTTGAGATGTGCAGAAGGGCAGGCTCAAAACTGACAGCCACTAGGACAAGAGCGGTACATGGAATAAGAGATGTTAAAGCATCAATTTTGCAAAACCTGTAATTCACCAAGGAACACTCCAGCTTTTAAACATTTACCATAAAAATTCCTTTCCTCATCTCTTATTCTAGCTGACACATAGAGAAATTTGTAGCACCTGACAGTAACTAGTTACCAAGAGTAAATATATTTTTTTTATAAGATGATAACAGACAATCACAAAACAGACAACAGAGAGGGATTCTGGAGATTTCCTAATACCCTGCTCAAAGCAGGGTGAACTAGGACAAGTTGTTCACATCCATGTCCAGTCAGGCTATATGCATCTTCTTCAAGGACTGAGACTTCAAAACCTCTCTGGGTCACCTGTCTAGGGCATTTGACCAATCTCACAGTAAAATAATTACCTTAAAAGGAAATTTCCTGTATTTCAGTTTGTAAACGAACACCTTGATAGATTTTCCCTGAGGCTTCTCCTCTCCAGCCTGAAGAACACCAGCTCCCAATGTCTCATTTGATTAAGAGATTTCCATCCCTTACTACTCTTCATGATCATTTGATGGGCTTGCTGCAGTATGCCCATATCTCTCTCATACTGGGGAACCCAGAACTGGACAAAGCACCCCAGTTGTCACGCCCCACAGAGCGGAGGGGAAGGATCATCCTCTTGAGCTGCCTCTGATTGGATAATACAACTACTAGGGTATTGATTTTCAACCGGACTTTGTTCTGCTGACCACAACCCCATATGCCCATCAGCTAAGTCAGTTTTTAGTTCATCTCATTATTCTTTTGTCTAACCCAGACTTCACCAGTTTAGCAAAGGGGATGTTATGGGAGCCTGTGTCAAAAGCCTTACTAAAGTCAAGATAAACACATCCATTGCTCTTCCCTTATCTACCAGACTAGTCATCTCATCAGGTTCATCAAGCATGACTTCACCTTCATAAATCCATGCTGAGTACTCCCAATCACCTTCTTGTCCTCTATGTGCTTGCAAACAGTTTCCAGGATTATTTGCTTCATTAACCTGCCAAGGGACGGACAGAAGGCAAATCTTCTGTAAGTCCACAGACTTGTCTCCTTGCACTTTTTGAAGAGAGTGGTGACAATTGCAGGAATCTCTTTCAATTGCTATGACATTTTCCAAGATAAAGAGTGGCCACTTGTTGGTATATCTCACCAAGTGCTGTGGACATGTGTATGTCCTGTTAAAGTATTCCATATTTTAAGTCTCATCCAGTAAGAATAAGTCTTCATTGCTCCTGACTTCACTGATCTCAGTGACCAGGGATTGTTGAAGGCAAGTTTTACCAGTAAGGTAATGACAAAGAAGGCATTGAATACTTCAGTCATTTCCTCATCCTTTGTCACAAGATCCTCCTGCCCCACTCAGCAGTGGATCCAAATTTTCTCTCATATCTGTTTAGAAGCCTTTCTTGTTGCTCTTCATATCACTTGTCAGATTCTGGGTGGGCTATGGCTTTCCTAATGCTATCCTTGAATGATCAGTGTCTCTGTGCTTCCTGGGTCACCCTTCCCTCTTCTACACTTTTTTTTTTTTTTAACAGAAGTGGTCAGATCAAAGGGACTTGCACTCAATGGTTCCTCCATTTCAGTACCCCATCATAAACAGCATTCAGTTTCAAGTCACTCAATTCAATCCCCAGGGGACTTTTGGGATATGGCCTGAAGTCCCCCAGCAAGCTGTTTATGAAAACCTGACTCAGTCAAAGGAACAGTCTTAAATGAGTACACTTGGGCAGAGCACTTCATACTTGATGACCTTCACTGAACAGTTTTTGAAGGTACTCCCCAAACAAAGGTCTCATTTTTCCAGTTCCTCTGTTTTCATTATGTGATTAGATGGAAGCCCTGCAATGCTAGAATCTATTTCGAATTCCAAGTCAGGGGCTAAGCAAGGACAAGTAATAAGCATGCTTTAGTGGCCACTTTAAAGCACAGGGTGTTCAATTTCCTCTTGCTCTAGATCATCCATTATAAAGACATTACCTCTTCATCATGGCAGCTCATTAGCATTCACTTCGAACATGACTCCACAAGATGTCACAGAATACTATCAGGTAATTCAGGTTCCTAAATTGCATAACCGGCACCAATACAAACTTCTTGTTTTATATTAGACAATGAAAGGCCTCCTTGTTCCATTCTTATTCCTCGCTGATAAAACAGAGGTTGAGGTTTATGCACAATACGCACAACAAGGGAACACATCCAGAAGTTTAATGAATTTCTGAAGTATTTCACAATCCTCCCTAGCAAGGAGTTTACAAAATGCTGCTATTCTTTTCACTGAAACGAACACTGTTTTCAGGATAATTAATTTTTTAAAAAAACTTATTTCCAAAAGCATGAAAGATATTGCACATTCCAATAATTTATTAATCTGCAGTACTGTGTTAAACCTTGGCTCCTTCCAGCAGTGATGTTTCAAGAGCAGTTGGAAGTCAAATAACTGTGTCCAGGGTCTTAAAGACTGAAAGTAAACAGGTTAAAAGGAAAGTTAAGTTCTGTGAAGAGTTTTAGGTATCCAAAAAGAACAGCACTACTGGAAAGAAATTCTGCAGGATCCAATCATTTTATGCTAATGAATTATAAGGTAAATATTAATTTAATACATTTACAAAAGCTTATTTACCCATTCTAAAAGCATAATATCCTTAATAGTAATCTGAAGAGGATGCTGCAGGCACCAGATCAGAGACTTCTTCACAGCCCTTGGAACTACCATGGTGGAAACCATGAATTTACTTTGCTTGGCTGCCAAACAACCATCCAGCCACTTTTCCTTCCCAAGAAAATGGGGGAGAAAGTAAGATGGAAAAATCTTATTGGTCAAGATAAACAAGTAACTTGGAAAGGCAGTGGGAAAAACTGGGACCGGATGTTGCCACATAGTTATTACCCTATAGAGAATTTTTTGTGGTTAGCGGTGAAGGGACAAGGAGTGCAGTATTAATGTGTGTGTAAACTTTTAACCTTCGTTGTGATGATATTCTGATATTAGTGTGGGAATTTCCACCTGCACATACCACCAACCCTTCAGCAAAACACGGAATTTATTCACTGCTTCCAATCAGTGGGCAGATATCCAGCCGCTTCTTGAAAAGCAGAGCCTCAGCATGTAAAACCATTACTTTGGAAGATCAAACACCACCATGAATGCCTCAACCCTTTTCATCCCCCTTTCCTTGAGCTTTTATTGCCAAGCACAATATCTTACGGTAGGGAATATCCCTTTGGTCAGCTGAGGCCAACTGTCCCAGCTATGTTGCCTCCCAGCCTCCTGCAGACCCAGCCTGCTGGCCTTGGGCAGGGCTTGGAGTGAGTGCTTTAAAGCTGTGAAAGCACCATTCAACAACAGCCACTTGTGCATTATCAACAGTTCCAGCTGTAAACACAAAGAACAGCACCATATGGGCTGCTGCAAAGGAAGTTGCCTTCAAAACGGCCAGACCTAAAACAATCTCCACCCCTTATTTCATACCACTTGTATTATGCTCAGGTCCCCCATTACCCAACACATCTAAGTAACCTTTGACCAGACCATCCCACCCCTTCTGTTTGTCATTCCTGAAGTCCCTTTATGCCAACACTTCCATGTTCTCCACACTTAAACCATCTTTATATCCATCAGTCAAATTTATACATACTCATTAACAAACATCCTCTGTCCAAAGCCAAAGCTATTTCTCCTTACCAAGGTAGCAGCTAAAAAACTGTATCATTTCGGCTCCAAAACATGGAAGGGTCTTTACAAAGAACAAGCTATACACAAATCACTAGTTTTAAAGACAGAATACAAGACAAAGTGATGTAATACACATTGCCTTCAAGTATACAAGTACATAAGGGTGTAAAACCTAAAGGCAACATTCAGTCCTTCATAAAGAAGAGGTCTTTGCAACCACTGGCAATGCCTTCATCTTGCAGCATTCTGAGAAATAAGTTTGTGCTCAGGAAGCAGCATAAAACATCTTCACTTTAAATCTGTTTGTCCGTATCTACTACAGGATGACCTACCAGTTAGCTTTGTTACTTTTATCTGAGTTTTCCATTTCCATCTCAGCCATTATCGTGGTGAAATAGCCTTCAACAAGCACCGCAGAGCTATTTTATTAATAGTCACCACTACTCAAGCAGTAAAACCAGATGAGAGCAAAAAAAAGCAAAATCCAAACTAAATGCAGCCTTTAAGAACAGCCTCTTTTCTCATTTTCATTTTTTTTCTGGCTAAACAGGGATAGAGTGTATCATACTAATCCCCATTCCTACTTTTATGTTACAGAAAACTGCCTGCACGCACAGCCATTTGAGCCAATCTTATCCCTGCTAAGACCGTGCAAGGAAAACAGTGTTAGTTTAAAGCTCTGCCTAAAAGAAAAAGGCTCTTACCTGCATTAGCCCAGGGGAGATACCAGGGGCAGCTGACATTCACGTAGGTGCCAGGCAGTCCATCTGGCCAGCAGGCATAGTCGTCAAACGTTCTGTTGCAGAACTTGCCTTCTGCAGAGAGAGAGAGAAGGGAGGATTGTGCCACTGCCTTGTATTAATACTGCAAGAAGGAAGAGACTAAAGAGCAGAGTATAAAAGAAAATACAGACATGTATTTAAGCCATAACAGCATTAGGCATTTAAGCTTTGATGTGCAATTAAATGACATTTTTCTAAGAGTTTATTCCCACACAGGAAACTGTTGTTTCAGGGAGGAACTCAAGAGCAGATTAGGGTCTTAGACTAAATCAATAGGCAAGAAAGATAAATTAATACTTATCCATTACCATCTTTTCTCTTTTACACACACTTATGTGTCTCAGTTTAATTAAAATAATTTTTGCTACGAATACTAATTCCTCAGAATGGTTCACAGTCGTGCAGCTGGAAAGTCTAGCCTAATACATAGATCCATCAACAAAATACACGCACACAACCATAACTTTGCATTACAGCTTAATTAACATGATAGCATTTCAACTTCAGATTTATTAAACTGTCATTCTTAGAGGGCAGCACTCAACTGCTCAGCAGGATAATGGAGCAGAGGGAGATGAATGTGTCCCTGCCATTGCTGTCATCAGCTCCTGCTCTCATTCTGCCATAATTACATAGTTAAGACAAGGAATATTGACAGCTTTACAGACACAACTTTGGACCCATCTTATCTTTCTTCAGTGTGTCACAAATGCACCGAAGCATAGGAGAAGCTGCATGGTGTCCAGTTGTATCACTGACAAGGCACCGGTGTCCTCTAAACACCATGATGCTGGCACATTACAGATGTTCTCAGGACATTACAGCAGCCCAAACACTACAACAAGCTACATTCTCATTTTCTTAACTCACTTGTTGTTTTTCCAAAGCCATTTCAGCATTTTACAATGCTCAAGATAATTTACACCAACTTTACAACCCACAAACTCCAAGTTCAATAGGAACAGCATGGTTCCAGACTTCCTAACACCCTGAGACCTATAAAAGTTACAGGAGTATTACATTAGTGGGCTGCTTGATGTGCTACAGCCACCACCTGACACTGCAAAACACTCTGGACCTAAGGATAAACATCTTTAGAATGAAATTTTTCTATGAAATGCTTCCTCAGCAGAGGGAAGAGTCCCACAGAGAGCAGGCAGAAGCAAAATGGGATAAAGAAGCAATGGACCAGAAAGTAAGCTGGAGAAGTAGTTTCAAGTTCATAATCACTACTTTGCTACTGTTATCATGCATTTCAAAAACTAATATATCCTATTTTGACCAAACTAGCATACCTGCCACAATAGGGGGTGTCTCATATAAGTATTTTTGGCACTGGAGCTGATATTCCTTCCACTTCTGCACAACTTCAGAGAGGGACCCATCTGAACTCTGAAAGAGAAACCACGAGTCTCAGACATTGCAGGAATTTAAACTGTATGGCTCTTCATGTAGACTGAGTAGGTGAGTGTGAAAATGACTACAAAAAGACAAACCAGCATTGCTTCTCATCTTTTTCTATTTCTATAGAAATCCCTTTCTATTTGTACCACGAGGAACTGAAAAACCTACAAACTATACCACGCCCTCACTGAAACCCAAACTGAGCTAGCCTTGCTCTCTTGAACATGCCCCAATTGTGTGATTTATTATCTTAAAAAAAGACAGGGACAGCAGTAAGCCCTTTATTAGTAGAGATTCTCTTTCCAATGCCAGTATCTCTGCTTTCCCATAAATTAAACCAAATTAATTCCCTGTATTCAGCAGATATTCCTCAAGCATTCTTCCAGAATGTGGATGAAAGCTTTTCCAGCTCATCTTTTCTTCCATGAGCAGCTTTTCCCTGCATCTAGCGTATTTTTCCTGAAACTGCAGAAAGAACAGGGACCTCCTTTTTGCACATTTTAACAGGCTGCAGGTTCCACCACCAGCTAACCCAAGCAGTGAGGGGACAGGGGAAAAGTATGTACAAACTTCCTCTGAGGACAAAGGAAATTAGCTGTTATTAGAACAAGTAGCTAACTCAGCGCTGGCTGCTCACTCAACCCTAGCAGATGTCCCACCTGTCTCACAGAGATCCAGCTTACTCACTGCATTTAAGTAGAAACATTAGTCCTTCTCTTTTCTCTTCACATTCCTATAAACTGAATAACGAATGTAATGTGCAGGATTAGCAGGCTGTAAGTGATCACCAGTGCAGCTAACAAAGCCTTCTTCTCCCAGAGAAAGGCCCAGCATGGATGCCTCAGACATAACATCAACAGCATGAGCGTAGTGGTACAACACACTGAGTGAGGGTACATTCATTTAATCCCAGATGTCCATCAGTTTATTTACTGAAGCATGAGGGTAAATAATCCTTGCAGTTTTACCCCCCTCAGCTACAATTGCTAATTTTTATTTTCTGCTTGTGCTTCTAAATCTTTTTCGGATGGTTAGATAAAAACCAGGGAAAAAGGAAAAACTGTTTTCATATGAAGAAGTAATTTTAAAACTATATTGCACTTCAGGAAAGGCAAAACAAATGCTGTCTGCTACAACCAATGTGACTAAAATTTAGACACTAGTGGAACCAACTTCATTTAGAAGAACAGAAGTAGAACTGGTATTTTTGGACTACAGCCACCTCAAGTCGTCTTCTTTTATACCCTTCCAATTAAAAAAAGCAATAGAAAAGAAAAAAACCCGAACACCATATGCATAATGCTTTTGCCTGGATTAAGCCACTACATTTACTTACAAATATGCTCCTGTGCATGTGGTAAGTACAACACTTAGGAGATACCTGTGTTGTGCTTCAAGAATAACTACCTATAACTAACCTGTAGCTAGGGTCTCATGGCCATAATTTACAATTTAGCCAGCTCTCCCTGAAGTCAAAACAAGTACAAGTCTGTGGACCTTGCAAACTCTGATCCTGTGTGCCTGATTTTAATAATCTGATCTATGCCAATAAATGCTGCAAAGTCTGTCTGGACTAAAGTCCCTATCATAAAATGAATGGATTCCACTGAATTTTAACTCCATGTGCCTATGGAGGCACAAACCTCTTACACAGTGATCTATGTTCAACATACCTGAAGGGGAAAGAAAACATTACCTAAATTAGGTAGACAGGTGTGTGTAGAGAAACAGATAATCAGCAACTAAAACTAAAATGCCATTTACAGATCCACATAGGCTGAAAAAGGATAGACGACCAGAGTACAGGGAGAAGAAAAGCTTTTGGATTGTAGTTTCTCTCAGGCAGTCTTTAAAAAGTGACTTTCAAGTTATATGTCACTTAGAATCATAGAATCATTTAAAGGTCTTCATCTTACAAAGGTGGTTATTGAAGTTAAACGGGACTGTTTCACTATCCTCTCATCACCAGGTTAACACTAATAAAGGAATCAGAAGGATATTTTCTGGATGACCCCTTAAATTAGAGTTTAGACCCCTTAATTTTAGAGTTACTAAACATCACACATCTTCCCAAAAAGTAAATATTGATCAAACATGCTGATGACTACATCAAGTTAATCCAAATTCAGCTTTTGAAATCATTACAAGATAAAGATGCATACAGAGTTTAATTTAGAAACAAGACTCTACCTTTTAAAATATCCTGACAATGTCCTAAAACTGCTTGCACTAAGAAAATTTGCTCTTTTGGAGTCAGCAAGCCCAGAAGTACTTTTTTCTAAAATCAAGCTTTCATCCATTGCCTTCACGAATGCAGTTAACCAGCTTTAATTACAGGTGAGGAAAAAGCAAGCCTCTATACCTTCATTTAATGAAAAAGTAAAAACATTCTACTTATATTGGTTTTTAATAATGTGAGAAGAAACGCTAACAAGAAGATTAGCAAACTATAAGAGTAAAATAATTAGACATCCCTTTCTGTGGATATGACAAATTTGGTAGACAGTTTTCTGTTATCTATAGTTGCAATAAGACAATCAAATATAAACTCCAAGACCACATAATTTGTTCTCTCTATGCAACAGTTCACTCTGGTTCAGCTAAATACCATGGTTTCTTACCAGACAAATTGGCTTAATTTTAATATATGTTAATCCCTATTTCCCAGGGTTTCTGGCCCACATGAATGAGAATCACAAGTTACACAGTGCCATAGATTTACCATGAATGTAGTTATTCAAATAAGAGATAGTGTATTTTCTTCAAAGGTTATTTAATTCCTTATGCAACAAAGCACTAAAGGAACATATAAGAGGCCAAGGTTTCTCAGTCAGCACCTAAAATTTGGAGCAAATGGAAAAAATACAGCTTTGTTAAACTCAGAACTATATTTCTGTTGCTAAAAGTATGTAGCTGTGGCTTTATTGGGGTATTTTTTCCCAGTTATACTCAACCACGGGAGGAAAAACAGCAGTAGTTTTGCTTTGGTGAAAATATATCACAGAAGGACAGTGGAAGACAAGCACGGCTGACTGGTTAAGGTGGAGGAGTCAAAAGGCATGAATGGATGAAGGACATTAGGAAAGTGAGTAATGGTGCAGCCGAAGGAGCATAAAACAGATGGAGAAAAATTAGGACAGGCAAGAGGAGAGAGACTGGGAGTCTCTCAGTGTATGTATACAATTAAGTGTAATTAATCTCTAGAGAGCACACTCTAAATGAGCACACTCAACAATCTGAAGACAGAATTCCTTACAAACTCTTAACAACTTCATAGAAAAGCTCCTTTCCATAGCCATCATTTGTCTTCATAGGACCACTGTAAAATGAAGCATTTTAATCACTTTTCAACATCTTTGAAACAATTCCTGCTGAAACAAAAACAACATCCATACAGATCCAAGGTGCTGAGTGCCACAAAAGCAATATTCTAATACAGTGAAATCTGCGCACACAGAATATAAACCTGCAGGAAAAATACACCATGAAATGGCATCAAAGTGGGAGAGTTCTCAGCTTCATAAGCAGCTGGTGACTCCTGGGGTTATCTTCTTTCCTCTTCTCCCATCACCACAGATAAGGTCTCACACGCAACAGAATGAGAAATTCCTCCTTACATTTGTGTTTCTTTTGTCTTTGTTTGTCTGTATTTAAATGCGAACACTTATGTTACAATATTTTCATGCTTCTAATATTTGAGAATAACAAGCAAGATTTCACCTTGCCATTAAGGGGTCACATCAAGTTGAATATGAGTCAGCAGCACCCTGGCAGCCAGGAGGGCCAAATATGTCCTGGGAGGCATCAGGAAAAGCATCACCAGGAGGGTAGGGATGGAGGGGAGGGGGAAGGGGGGGATTGTCCCCCTCTGCTCTGCACTGGGGCAACCTCACCTTGAGTATTGTGTGAAGTTTTGGGCACTACAATACAAGAAAGATATTAAGCTGTTAAAGAGTATTCAAAGGAGGACAACAAAGGTGGTGAAGGGCCTTGCGGGGAAGCCGTGTGAGGAGCAGCTGAGGGCACTTGGTCTGTTTAGCCTGGAGAAGAGGAGACTGAGGGGAGACCTCACTGTAGTTACAACTTCCTCATGAGGGGAAGAGGAAGGGCAAGCACTGATCTCTTCCCTGTGGTGACCAGTGTCAGAACCCGAGGGAAGTGCCTGAAGTTGTGTCAGGGGAGGTTTAGGTTAGATATTAATTAGAAGTTTTTCACCAAGTGGGTGGTTAGGTGCTAGACCAGGCTCCCCAAGGAAGTAGTCACAGCACCAAGCCTGACAAAGTCCAAGAAATGTTTGGACAATGCTCTCAGACACATGGCGTGACTCTTGGGGATGGTCCTGTGCAGGGCCAAGAGTTGGACTTTGGTGATCCTTGTGGGTCCCTTCCAACTCAGCATATTCTGCAGTGTAATCTTAGAACCACGGGGACCTCCAAATTGCTAATCAAAAGCAAAAGATAACCAGCCTGGTATCAAACAACACTGTGGAATGGCCTTGGTATTCTTCCCTTGGTTAGTAACTATGACATATCTACCTTGTGAGAAGAGGATTCAGATTATAATTTCTGCCTTTGATCTCAGAAGCACCAACAAGTTACTTTTAAATTTCAGTGCCCTTTTTGCAAATCCAATGTAACATATTATTTCAAGGCTATTCTGCCCAGGATCAGCAGAGCAACCAAGTCCAAGACAAGTGAAGATTATACATTAACAGATTTATGCTCATTCTCATTTAACATTCTTTCCTGTATATTATAGATCTTTTAAATCATGTTATGTAGCATATGATATAGGTCTCCATCAATAGAGGCCACCACAGTAGTCAGCCAGTTGAACTGTTTATTCAACTTATATTGTGGACATAAGCTGGAATTTACAGTTTTGTCCTTAAATCACAGCCCAAATAGGGCAAAACACAACATGGATACCCCACAACGATCTGCTGGGACCCAATATCATCTTTCATTTATTGGGATGAGATTCTTCCTGTCCAAGAAAGAATTATTTCCAGGTTTCAAACTTAAATGAATTTGTTTGTGTGAGGCTTAAGTACAGTCACTCTCCTGATAGTGCTTTCCCATTTAACAAGATGTTTCAGCTTGCCACAACAGCCCTCTAGAAGCAGAAGTTTAAAAAAGAGACTGTAGCACAGCACAATACTGCAATAGGACTAGCTGTTCACAGAACAAATTCATCTTCCTCTGGAATTAATCATCACATTTATCCACTTCTAACTTGAAGTAAGTATGAAAGCATATGACTGGCAAGATGCTACTACTACCTTCTCTGGCCCATCAGCAAAGATCCAATTTCTCCAGAGTTACTACTGATTTGTCAAAAAAAAAAAAATCTACAAATGTTGCTGCTCCAACCACCAGTTTGTAAGAATGGTTACGTTTCCTTAATTGTTGCAGGAAAAAACCCAAACTCAACATTAAGCCAAAATACCCAACACCAGCTGATGCTGACAGATTCCTCTGACCCTCTGTTCACCCCATGACAAAGCAATCCTACTGAAGATTAGTCCATCAATGCTTTTTGAAAACCAGAGGAGGTTCTAGAAACATGTTAGTATGGAAGCAGGGTTTATTGTTCAGTCCTCACTCTACTCCAAGAGAAGATATTCAACCCAGTATTATAACTGCTTAGTTCAACTTCTGCGTAATAAGTGAATCAAAATCTATTATAGGCAACATCTGACAGTCCAGTTACTCTCCTTTATGTACTGAAGGTATGCCAAAGGAGAAGGTACATCAAAAATTACACTGCTGTCCTTATTATAGATAGTTTAAAAGACATATCACCCAAGTTATATCTCTTCCAGAGATCATAAAATGAGATCCCACTTTAGAACATCTGATATTCCCCAGATTTCTGTATTTAACAAATTCTCTTCCCATATCATGCTGCCCAGTATTGAGTTTAATGTAGTTATCTGACATTACACATCATTAAGTGACCCTCTGAGGTAAAGTCATTATTCTTGGTCCCTTCTGTAGGGCTGCTTGACTGATCAGATGATTTATTATTAATTTTGCTTCCCAACTCATATTTTACAAGATACTTCATCAGCAGTTGGATCACTCTGCACAAATTCCTCACCCTTCAGCAAAAACAAATGGGATCAAAACAACTTTTCTTTCAGAGCAAAGTCTATTGCCAGCTCACCTAGGAGCTTTTCCTATAAATGCTTCTGCTCCTTGGTTACTAGTGAACCAATGGCTTCAGTAGCTCAAGAGCACCAGAAAAAGAAACCTTTCAGCATCCTTCCTGATAGTGAAATAGCAACAAATGAGCTCTCTCAAGCAGCTACCAGATTCAGAAAGAAACTCCCCGATGACACCTGCCAGCTGTTCTTTCTCTTAGGCTGCAGCAGCTTAGTACTTTACAATAAATCCTTCAAGGTAAACAAAAAGTCTCAGGACTTTGATAAAGGCAAATCTTGAGAACAGTGTTCCACCAGCTATCTTCGCATGGAAACCCCTCTATTCTGCAATCGCTTCAAGTTTCATGACATCAACCTTCTGAACTCAAAGCTGCAAAAGCAAGCTCTCATCAGACACCTACATTTGATCAATGCACAGAAGAGATGCTCCCTCACTCATCAGAGTCTCTCAGCTCAGACTGATGGCAGACCTCTAGTACTGAACAGTAACACTGGGCTTTCAGTAACTTCCCAAAACACGCAATATTCCCCCCTTTGCAGTTCATCCTCTGCCTGAGCAGCTTTAAAACAGTATTTCAGACAATTTAGAGAGTATCCTGAAAGAATAAATGCCACTCCTGTCAAAGACAAGAGTACGTATAAAAATACCTGGGTGGAGGTTTTAGTTCGGTTTCTTTCTTCTTTATTTGTTTTCTTTTGGTCGTGTTTGTTGCTGTTGTTCTGTTTGTTTAAAACCAGAAACTGAATCTCAGCATTTCTCTCTATCTCAACTGAAAATAACCACTGCACCACACGGTCCATCATTCTGGTCTGCCTGCCCTCATGCATTTTTCTTTCTCTTCTACACACCTGCACAGCTTCAAAAGGAAGATTTGGCTGGGCTCAGTCCCACAGCACAGGGCACTTATCACCACCACCACCCCTCCCCCACTCTTAAAACCTCATCTTTCTGGACTGAGGACAAGAGAATAGACATATACATCCTCCTAAGGTTTGAAAATGCAGAATGTTTCTGCCCAGAGTCTCAGATAAGGCATTTTAAAGAACAAACTCAAAACCGACTTGAGGCACATTCCTGTTTCTCAGTACTTCTGCGCAGGCAGCTCCACTTCAGCTGACTTACTGCTTCAAAAATCATTCCAAATATGTAAACTGCCTGAGCAGGCAGGAGAATTCAGCTGTGACCACAAGGGTTTCCACTCCAGGACCAAACACTCCAGGTCTGTCTGATCCTTCATTGGTGCTTTGAAAATAACCAGACTTCCCAACACTGAAATTTTTGTTTTGACAAGGTGCATTTCAACAAGAAAAATTTCCTTTGGCCCCTATAGTTTTCTGGATCAAGACAAAGCATTAAGCATTCAGAGAGAGATGTCAAAGCAAGCTTTTTAAAGATATAAATCAACTTGCATGGTATACATTCTCAAAATAAAGGGAGTAAAGTAAAGCCTAATATTTCAGCATGCTACAGAATTTAGCATTATCTTTTAGAGACATAAATAAATGAAATCAAACTCCTGTAGTCAAGTAAGATAGTCTGAAAATGTGGTGCAAACCCGTGTTCATGGGGTTCAAGGTTCTAATGTTTCTGTCTTCAGTGATGGACAGACCTGGGACAAGAACCTGCAGAGTTTTTCTGTCCCGTGAGACTTTCCCAGCTCGGAAAGATGTTTCCTCTTTGATGACTGCAGGACCCATAAATCCTTATGCTTACAGTTGAAGCAGATACACATTTAGATTGGCAGCTGCTGTTACCAGAAAATGTTATTTTCATTACAATGTCTTTCATCTGTTCTGGTAAGTGTTCCTGTCAAGGATGTATTACATGAGTCACTCAAAAATGCCAGAAGAAACTATAAGCAACTACAGAGAGGCACAGAAGAAAAAAAAAAAAAAAAAAGAGGGCAAAATTCAAAAGCAACTATAACTCACAAACTCTTGGAGAGAAGATAGCAGCCCAACAATTTTCATGGGAGACAGAGTGCAGCACTCACAAGAGTTACATTATCACACAACTAGATTTTACTATTCATTGCAAATCTAGACATATACTTTGTGAAGTGCTCTTTAGAAGAGGACTTTTATTGATGCGGTCATACAACAGAGCAAGCAGAAGAACAGAATAGTTTAAAATGCATTTTTAGGCAGATACA